ACAATATAGTGTCAATTGATGACGTCATTAGCATTTAACAGTGTACTGTGTTGTATTTCGGAACATACCCTTAATATCAAGGGCCACACGACAAATGGCTGTAAGGGCAGTGGCCTGTCTACAGAATAGAGGTGGACATTTTGAACAATTATTAAATTAATAATAATATTTAAAGCCATTAAAAGTTTCTTAAAAGTTATAGTGTATTTTTATTTAATCAATTATCGAAAATTAATAGCGCTTATATGAGGCTCTACATACATGGCAAAAGGGTCATATTCAAACAGCCCTAACTCTCGAGTTATGCAATTAAGAACAATAATTTTAATGTCAATTTGTAAGTAATATCCTTAAGTATTAGGATAGTATTAAAAATTTTGTATCAATGTGCTAGTTTTTGAAGTATGTTAAGAAAAAAAAATAGTCAATTTTTTTTACTTAAATTAGCATTGCAAATGTTTTAAGATATTTTGTAGGGAAAACTTTCCATGATGTTTATTTTTATTTGATAGCCTTTTACCTTTTACCTTTTAAATAATATTTTTTTACATCTGTAGGACCTTTCTGTTCTACAGAGAAATCTGCATCTTTTGGCAGAGGTATCTACAAGAATAAAAAAATGGCGGCCATTCTGACAGGAGGGGGGTGGGTGGGTAGACCCCCATATATGGGTGTTTTCGTCGATGAAATTAGGTATATTGTAACCCCAAATTATCGCTAGGTCGTGACCAGACACACTGTGTATTTCATTTTGTTTCTTTATGTGTATTAGTGTACATTAAGAATTTATTGATTGAATAATTTTATAACGTGAGCTTATCGACACATACGGATTTTAAATTTTTTAAACAGTAAGGGTGACAAACGAATTCACAGTATCCGCCTGATGGTGACTGGATGTTGTAGCCCATAAACATCTACACTCATCCTCGAAAAAAAATCAAGATGCAGATGCGTTGTCACTCACGAGGACTAAGATGGAATGCCTCCTTTCCAGTAAAAAAGGTATCCAGTTCTCTACACTCACCATACGAAGCACTAGCATTAAGCCACTATTTTATGCTGGTATTCTGTGAGAACGTGGTACTTTCCCGATCGAGCCGACCCACGTGCTACAACCATAATATAGCTGCAGGTGGTATCTTTCTGTTATAAAATTTAAGTGACTAAGGAACTTTCAGTTCACATGGTGGTGAGTGGTTACTGCAATCCGTAGACGTCTACTTCTATCCTCGATTACGAACCAAAGTGCCATCTCCATAAGTGGCTCTTTCAAAATACATTTCACTCGGTAAATGAGTTTTTAAATCACTGATGACAACTTTTTATAGGACTATAGCTCATAATTGACATTTTTATTATTATTAGGGAAGGCCCGGTGGTGAGTTTGGACATAGCGAAGACCGTCAATCGGGTACTACTTTACACAAGGTGCTACTTTAGAAGCTTTCATCTTATGGGCTTCCCGAGAAATTGTGCGGATGACAGCACTACACACCAGTCGTGCCAATATTTCTTGGGAAAACGTCGCCGAGTACCGCACCAAACTTGTGTCTGAAGTGGAGTCTTTGCTGAACAAAGTCTCGCATTGGGGTCTACTAAATCTAGTCCAGTTCAATGCTCAGAAGACACAAGTTTGCGCGTTTATCGCTAAAATTAATTCATTTGGCGTATTTCCTCAGTTTTAAGGCACTCCCCTTATTGCCTCATCCAGTATCAGAATCCTTGGCGTCGACATATCGAGTGATGTGCGTTTCGTGGCCACTTGGAAGAGAAGGCCAAATTGGCTTCTAAAAAACTTGGCGTACGCAACAGAGCGGGACAGTATTTCATGCCGGCACAACGTCTGCAACTTTACAAGGCGCAGGTTCGGCCTCACATGCAATACTGTTCCCATCCCTGGACCGGGGCACCTCAGTGCCAGCTCCTTCCACTTGACCGTCGAGACAAAGCTCACGATACTATCTACACCATCTGGATGCTTGGCGGTCCACCACTGTACGTTCTACTAGGAGTTTTCTTCCTTGTACGAGCCCTCTATGGAATCGTTTACCACCGGCGATTTTTCCTGACGGATACGAGTGAGGGACCTTCAAGAAAAGAGCTTACAATTTTCTAAAAGGCCGGCAACGCACCTGCGATTCCGTTGGTGTTAAAGATGTTGATGGGCGGCGGTAGTCATTTACCATCAGGCGAGCCGCTAGCTCGTTTGCCCCCTCTTCTATTAAACAAAAATCTGACGTGGTGGTATAATAATTTTTTTTATTTGTTAATTATTATTATTACTTTTAGTTACACTTTTGTTATCTTTATGTAATTGGATGGATTGTTTGTTGTTGCTGATTAATGATTTGATAATGATTGATTTTGATATCATAATTATTGTAAAACTAAAATTTCCAAAAATAAACAAATTTTGATGTCTCCATTAGGGACTTAGTATGTAATACATAGTGTCTTATGGAACATACATACTTAAAAGCAAATAAAAAAAATATAGCGGTATAGCCTGGTAGGAGCTTTGTATGTGGACTTCTAGATTTGCAATCGCTAATCCGCTTGCCTTGCGTGGCGATAACATAACATAAATCCTTCCTTCAATCTTAGTCAACGGTAGGAGCCCACGCCCAGCTGTGATCTTTGAAGGGCTGCTGAAGAAGATGAATCTTTCGTATATGAAGTAAGCATACCATTCTTTTTACTACATACCGTTTTTTATAGAATAAGCGTGACAAAAAACACAGGGTACCTGATGGTAAGTGGATGCTGTGGCCCATAGACAACTATACCTATCCTCGATTAAGTATCAAAAAGCAGATGCGTAATCAGCTCTGACGGATGGTAATTTTAGATAAAATTACCGTGCCTCTGAGGACTGAGATGGAATACCACCATACATTTCCACTAAAAGTGTTTCCGGTTCTATTCACTTATAATACGAAACACAGCAGCATCAAGCAGCTGTTTTAAGCTGGTATTCTGTAAGAGTGACTTTATAAGATTTAAATAATGCATTAGTACCAATAAAACTGCAAAATATATAACTTCTTTTATTACGTCCTCGATCGAAAATTTGTTGCCGCTGTGAAAGAAATCACTCGATTGCAATATAACTTGTTGATATTTATTTGAAATTAATAATACATCTTACACAATTTCAAAAAAGGATAAAGAATTTAAAATTATCAACATAGCAATTCTGACTCGCTACGGCTAAGTTTACGTATATAAAAAGAATACAATGTTAAGAAATTGCCAAAATGTAAACAATAAAATAATGCAGTTAATTAACTAATGCACTAACTTAAAGAGGATTTAAATAATTAGATGCGCCTTTACCATAGTATGACCACTCCGAAATGTGTCTGTCCATTCAGTTTATACAAAGGTACTCTGTGCGTCCATTCTCAATTAAGTAAGCTCACTCATTCGCAATCAGTGCTCATTTGTGCGACAGAGAAGGTAGTATACACAATTTCTGTAAGATAATGAGAGATGACGCTACTGCATTAGTGTGCGCGCGTCAGCGTCTTGCAAACGAACACATCCAAAAATAATGCCACAGTTTTCAAGGTGAAGGCGCATCTAACTATTTAAACCTTTGGATTTAACACCCTCGTTATTACCCCCAAGTACACTTCAAATCTTATAAATATATGTACCTATTATAATTCATTGAAAAATAGAGAATTATAATTTAAGTACATAAAATTCCTATATATATATATATATTAGAGATTAAGTAATAACAATTCACATAGATCGAAATGGTCGTATAACAATTCTCTTCAGTTTCATAAGAGCTGATAATTCAATCGTCAGATAAAAGTTTGTTCTTGGGCGACCGACCTTTGCCCGGCGTTAGGCAAAATAATCTGATGGATGGAACCTATCTAGATGAACTTGGAAAATAAAACATTATCTAAATACTAAATTTTATTTAAAAAAAAGTTTAAGAAGGCCGTTTTCGAACATTGAAGTTTATGTGACATACAATATCTTAATGTTTCTGAGAAACCAATTACATAATATAATGTATGTAAACAAATATACAAGAATATTTAGTATTACAACCATTCATAGGATAAAAACTAAAAAAAACTAGCGAGCCTTACAGTAGTCGTATACTCGCATATGATGTGTAACATCTGACTTCTCACCGTGGTAATAGGCAACATTAACATTATATCCTAAAAAGGTATTTGTTTTTTATCAATTGAGCAGCGATAGTAATTAACGTCAAAATTTAAAAAAGCTAAATACTCAAATATTTATTCGAAATCATTATTACTCACTTGAATTTATTATCAATGATCTGCACTTTTTTAGACACTTATCAACAGTAAATATATTTATTAATTTAGTTTACACATATAAATTAGTTTATATAGCACACATAGTTTATAGTTTATATAGCACACTTTACTACCACTGGGCGCGCTCATTGGTCAAATAAAATAGCGCGCGCTTGCCCGGCTTCCTGTTATGCACTTCCGTCCGTTTTCACGAAATCACTCACAGATGTCAGGAAAGCGAGAGGAAAGATGTTACTCTTCAAAACCAAATTAAAAATTACAAATGTAGGTAGTAGGTTTCGTTCATATTCCTTCAGTTTATACCTATTTCATAAATAACTGAAGATCGAAAAATCAGCCCGAAAACTACTAAAATAGAGAGCAATATGATGCGACAGTAGGTACATAGTTATCACATTACAATAATTACGGTAGGGAGTAGGGACAAACTCGCCCCACGTACGCAACGTATTCGATGCAACGCTCCCACGTTAGTCTACATTAGACATGGGCGCCGCCCCCAAATATTACGGCGGCGGCGTGCTGATGAAACTCACTCGGCGGCGGCGTGGCGCCGGCGGCGTGGCTGATTTATGTGCAGTATGAAAATTCAGTGTAAAAAATCTTTAAAAAAAAAGCAACAATGCAAAGACTCACTTTATTTACCAAAACACAAAACAAAACTGTTCAAGCAAGGCAACAAAATTAGTTTTCTTTATAATTTTTGCATTCCCTATAGTTATCGTGAATAAAAATTATTTTATTCACCCTTTGTGGACTCAACCGAGATCTTTTTGCAGAAAGTACCATTCCAGCTACAGAAAATACCCTCTCACTTGGGGTACTTGTAGCGGGTACACATAGCAAAGCTCTGGCAAAAGTAGACAGCCAAGGAAATTGTTTCTTTTTTTCGTTCCAAAAAGATAAAAGATCCTCATTATTGATATCCGTAGATCCAACAGCAGAAGCGAGATATCGCCAACATTCTTGGTCTAATGGATCAATATCTTCAAGTCCATGACCATGACCAGCACTATGTTTCTTAGAGAGTTTACTCAAAATTGATGAGGAACTGCTGGTATTTAAGGAAACTGAAGTGTATGTTTCGTTTCTTTCACAATTTCCGGGCAAATCATGCGATTTTATAACTTCTTTTATATAAGATGCAAGGAAGGAAGCCTTTGTCATATTTTTTGACTCTAAATATAAATCTAACTCTTTAAGACCCATGAACCGCTTGTCCAAAAGAGCTGCAGCTACTACAGGTTTAGTAACAGGAAATCTTTTATCAATATTCGCCAACATGTTGCGTTTTAAACGAAACAGAACCAATGATTCATCATCATCAAGTGATTTTAGAACGTCAATTATTTCAGAGCGAAATACAAGTGCAACATTCATAGTGCAGGTCTTTTGGGATGACATAATTTCGACTGCTTCACGGAATCGATTTAAAAACTTTACTAAATCTTCTAAAAGAATCCACTCATTTTGAGTAATTTTCAGCTCATCTTTTCCTACTTTTCTTAACATGTTGTTTATTGGATCACGGTTGCAAACATGAATTAAACTCTCCAGCATCTCTAAAATGCTGTGCCAACGTGTAGGCGTAGTAGTCTTAATTGACGGAATATTTCTACAATTATCAGCTGTCATAAGTGACATGTCTTCTGCAAACCATTCGATGCTTGCTTCTGTAGCTGTCTGCGAATTGCTCTGTAAAATGGGGTTACTCTCATCAATTTCTAGTGTTTCTACTACTCGTTCAACGCTATCCAAAAATTCTTTCTGCACCTTTTCTGCTTCTAACTCCACCTCTGGTAACCGGTAGCGCACAGTCTTGACAATTTTTTTACATTTATTAACCAGTTCTTTTACTTCTGGGACACTATCTATACCATCCACGGTCACAAGGTTATGAAGTGCATGTCCGAGACACAAATGGTGCTCCATGTTTCCCAACGAAACTGCCCGTTTCACGTTGCTGCCAGCATCCGTTACAGCGTAGATATTTTTCGCATCCAGTCCAAATTTTTTCTTTACGCCCTGGATCATTTCAATTATCTTTTCTCCTGTTTTTTTTTCCAGTCACAGTATGAGTACTCAGAGTCAATGACTTCAGTTCAAAATCTGCAATCAGGGATATAATTAGAATACATAAGAAATAGAATAACATAATTCCGTTTTAATATCATGCAAGAAGATTGCTCAGAAAAAAGTCAAAAGCTAAATTAGTTGCTTGGCTGAGGAAAGAAGCAGCATGAACATCTTGATATTTACATTAAGTTTTTTTTTTCTGTGAATTCGTCTCTTTATATTTTATATGAAAATTGCCTACCAGCTGTCAAATAATGTAGAGTAAACGTAATATAATTCAGTTTCCTGTGTTGATCTGTCCATAAATCAAAGGTCATAGCACAGTGTCGAGGCGCGTCCATGTGTATTCTTTCTTTTACGTTGCTCAGCATGCACTCGTATACATCGGACTCACAGTATGTCGTGACGGAAGGTCGTCTTCATTCAAGATGATGTCGTATTTCTAAAATTAAAGAAATGCTTGAGTTCGGTGAACATAATAAATGTTGTGTGCTGTGATATTAGAAAAAGAGAGGCATTAAAAGTAAATTATTGAATGAAATAGATAGGTAGGTAGGTACCTTAAAAAAATCCACCATCCCTTCATCAGAAATTGAGTCAAACGGAAGCAAAGATTTGGAAAACCAAAGAGCGACATCTCTAGCCAGTAGCCATTTGTCATGTTTCGGCGTGACTTTTGCAGTTTTTGAACCAGAAGCAGTATAAGTTTTAGCAGGACGCTTAGCAGTGAAAAAGTCTTTGATGTTAGTTTTGGCTTTATTAGCAGAAGCAGGTTCATCTCGAATGTCATGATCATCTCGTAGGTGACGAGTTAAATTCCCAGTACTGACTGTTTTACTATAACACTTTATTTTAACACTGTAACAAATTAAGCAAAAAGCCCATCACCTTCATGCCTGCTTATAAAATGTTAAATCTAAACTCAAATAAACTATTCTCAGATGTCAATGTTTTAAATTAGAAATCAGATAATAAAGTAGGTATGCTAATAATAAAATTGCCAATAAGTGTTTTACGACTACGAAATTTGTTTTGTTTGGTTCAAATGATACGTTTGCTTCAGCGATAAAACTAGGCGTTAGAAAGCATTGTAATGTAAACCATCATGAGCAACATAAACTTTGATAATTGATAATATTTATTCATTTAAGCTAGGTATGTAAAAATACAGAACAAATATGTAAAGATACAAACATACAGAGTAAGAACAAAGCTTACTTTTGCAGAAACAGGCAAGCATAAACGAATTTTAAGAAATTATTGTAAATTTGAGGTTAGAAAAAATTATGAAACCTAAGAAAAGCATTTTTGTTTAAAGAAGTAAAGTACTTACGATCTAAATGTCACGCCATCACCATCACTTTCAGCTTGAACTGCTGTGAGACAAGCTGAGCAATATACTTGATCAGGATTCAAAATTCTCTTTTTGTTATTTTCTTCAGTAATAACAATGTTTCCGAAGTACTTCCAACAAAAACTGCTACGAGTTTTAGCATCAAAAAGCACGGTTATAGAAAGCTTATTTATACTTATATTTAATAAACTGGTCATTTTAAAATGAAACAAAAAAATCCTGAAACAAAATGGCCCGGGCTAGCCTCGCTCACGCCGCGCAGCAAGTGGCGGCGGCGGCGGCGGCGCGCTGGGGTGACGCGGCGCGGCGGCGCCGGCGCGGCGCCCATGTCTAGTCTACACACACTTGACCTACGTATGCGTACGCAACGTACGTTTGTTGTTAGACACCTTGTCACTTCTTAACGGACGCACGAGTACAAATTTATACCATGTTTTCTTATTCTGAGAGTAAGTTTGAGACTGATGAATGATGATACTTAGTCTGGTGGTCATATGCGAATATATCGTCACAAGGAAAAAGATTTTTCCTCTACGAATTTAAAATCTTCGCATCTAAACATTTTAGTAAAAAGCAAAGATATTGTGTGCACGAAATAAACAGAGAGGAGATTGGAGAATATCATACATTAGTTAGGGATCTAATAGGAATATTCTGTGATTGATTTTTTCTGTCCTTTCGTATATAAAATTCGCTACTTTGTATGAGTAACACATTATATTATATTTATGGATTCGTTTTCCTTTTGAATCATAACGCCTAACAGTATTACTATCAAACTTTCTAAAGTCGAAGTTTTGGACGTTTAGGCGGTAATTCTGTTAAAATGTATGATTTATAATGCAAACAAATACATTAATATGTAGAACATACATTTTTCTGCAATATATTAGTTCACATCCCATATCTAATCGTAACTGGGATAAAAATAAAAAATCAACTTTTTACTTTTAACGATATTCAACATATTTAATATAATAAAATTATTAGTATCACTTTACTAAATCGATGAACATCTCCCATTTTGACAATAAAACGCACCGTGTACGCGTTTTGTTTATTGCAAACCTCAATTTTTTTGTTGGTTGAATACTCAAAGTTGCAAACATCCCTTCTCACCTTCCCACGTCGATCTGAATATCACACGCTTGCGACATTGCGTCGCAAGCGTGTGATCGCGTTGCATACGATAAGTTTAGTGTGTTTCTAATTTCTAGTTTTTTTTTAAGTACAAAATCAAGAGTCCAGGCATAATACGTTGCATACGTTGCGTATGTGGGACCAGTTTGTCTCTCCTCTTGTAACAGATACGTTTACGCATAATGCAGTGACAGAACGGAACGTCACACTTAAATTTTTTATTCTGGTACTGTCAGCACAGAGTAATTCCTGAAATTTGACAGATTAATTAGCGGTTACAACGTAGAGAGTTACAAGTTACAAAATGGAATTTTCTTGAGTTTATTCTTTAAAAAGATGTCACTTAGGTTTTAAAGTGGTTCCTTTTTATTTCAGTGTAATAATAATACGCTTTATGGACTATACCTATATATTTTGAGTTTGAAGATTACTTCATGGAAGCTTATAATGTGATCTCATCAAGTGTCACAAAATTCATTCTGTATATAATGTAAATAAGTTGCATTGCATATTTCAAATATAATAGATTAATAATCGCTAATATTCTCTCGTATCCAAGGCAAGAACTTGGCTAAATCGGTGAATACGACGTAATGCGAGGGATCGCATCGGTATTCATTTTGCCTGGCAACAGAGAGCGAGACAAGGCCTCTGAGGTACCAACTGTCGTTAATTTCAAAAACCATGCCACCGCCGCTGTCACCGTTGCATACTGAAGTGCCTGTAATATAAAATTTTATTGTAAATGTAAAGGAAAAATAAAATAAAAATAAAGCTATTATAATATTTTTATAATATTAGATAAATAATTCATAAAGTCGAAGAGATCATTCGACAGGAGCTTAGCAACTTAATTAATCTTATTTTAATATTTTATTATAAAAAGCAAGCAATGACATATAAGAATTACAGCTATTGTAGGTCAATTGATTACAGCCATATTTATTGAGGTATAAAGTGTGCGTCACAATTAATTATTTTCGTTCAAACTGATAAACATGAACTTCCAAAAAATTGTGGTAAATTAAAAAATTGACTTTCAATAAGTATCCATACTAATATTATAAATGCGAAAGTGTGTTTGTTTGTTTGTCCTTCTTTCACGTCGCAACAGAGCGTCGGCATGGCATGAATTTTGGTATGGGGATAGTTCGGTGGCTGTAGAGTGACATAGGCTACTTTTTTCCGCAGAAAAACATCTCATTCCCGTAGGAAAATCGAATATGTTGCACAAGTTTGTCCTTCTTTCACGGCGCAACAGAACGTCGACATGGCATGATTTTTTGTATGGGGATAGTTCGGTGGCTGTAGAGTGACATAGGCTACTTTTTCAGCGGAAAAACATATCATTCCCGTGGGAAAATCGAATATGTTGCAAAATTAAATTCAGCTAGGTGGCGCCACCGTGATTCTACAAGACGGACGACGGTACGATGGACGAACACAGAAGGTCAGAATATGTGGATTATTATGTATTTTTACCAAAATTAAGATAAAAAATGTATGGATCTGTATTTTTCCACGCAGGACCGGGAAGAGAGCGATAAAAAACATAAAATTCACCACCTGATTTTCTTCAAACGTTTTGGTGCATTTTAATTCACAGAATAGGCGATAACCTCGCAGACGATATTAAGTAATCCCACCCCGCAAGGGTTACAGGCGTGATTATAAGTATGGATCAGAAATACTATCACCACCTGTCACGCTTTCACCTTTAACTATTACTTAACACATTCATCACCCCTACGATTTTCATGATGTCTTCTCGGATTCCGCCTACATTTTACGGTTGACTCGCCAGGCGAGTCGCCGGCACTGCAATATAAATTGATCGACTCGCCACGCGAGTTCACTGGCACTACGTAAGGGTAAATTCTATGTTTTGTAATTTTTGTGGCCGTCACAGTGTACTTAACGTGTTTACGCAATTAAAAAGTGTTTCCGGACTATTCGGCTTGTAAAAATGGCAAAAAACTCTTTGGATAAAATAAAAGGTAAGTTTGTTTCGTAATTTGAGCAGTGGTTGTCAACCTTTTAAATTGTGGTTATTGTTAAGGTTATATTTTGAATTTCTAATACTTGTGAATAGACAATTTTACCCTGAAATAATTTAATACGGGCTTTCAGTTTTAAGAATATAGTATCAGATTAAAATGTATTATTTTGGGTCAGCTTTAGTAATCTGCTGCACGATTTAAGTGACTATTTTAGCTTTAGTTGACAGACAATGATGCTATTGATTACCATTTAGCTGCTTTTTATGCCGGAAATCTTTATTTTTCGAGATATCAATAGTTAAAGTTTTGAGGTTATATCGAGTTGGTTAGACATCCGGTACTTGATTTTGATTAATTAAATTACATATAACGAAACGCAAATATTATGTCAGTTTGTTTTTTTAACATAGATACACTCATAAAATAGTTAATCACTCAGACCCAAACAATCCATTTGTGGCTGGAGATGGGACTTATATACATATTAATGTATAACAAAAGAGCGCCATTATCGCCAACAAACTGTTGCACAGTTTGGCGATGTTTATTATTATTTTAAATCTGTGTATTTTATGTTAATAAAGATTTAAAAAAAAACAACAAATTGAGTTGCAGTGGAGACCCTTTTTTTATTTATTTTCAACCCTATTGCAAAGATACAAGATTTATAATATGGCTGCTAGATAATTATGTTATCTCAAATATTACGATAACTTTGTATTTCTAAAGCTTGTTTTAAAAAAAAAAAATAATGTCTTGATAGTTCTTCCTAGGACAGAGGCTTTATTCCAAACTGGTGGTATATCAATACGTAATCAAACAACAGTGACTTTCGATAAGTAACACATAAACACTCACGCCTGTCACCCAGAGAGGTAGGTAGAGACTACGGACTTCCATTTGGCACGATCCTAATTATTCTAATGAAACTAGTTTGTTGTATATTAGTTCCATATCACAAGTATGTAGGTAGTCCATGCTACTATGTTCACGTCGTTGTCTAACATGTCAAAGGTTGAGGATCTATGTCAAGGAACTCGCCTAGCGAGTTCAAGGCATTGCAGAATAGTTTTTTCCTTTCAAATTTAAACGGGGTCTCCACACCCGGCCCACCACGTAAATCTTTAGTTTAGCATATATTTAGTCTAAACTATAATTTTAAGCAGAAAATACGGATGCATTTTGGAAATATTAGTGAAAAACACTGAACTCGCCAGACGAGTCGTCGGCACTGGAATAAGATTTACGTGAACTCTCCGGGCGAGTCGGTGGCACTGAATGCGTTAACTGTGGTAGAAACAGTTCTTAGTAAGCCTTATTAATAAGCCTTAGTAATATTTACTGAACGGAAATGAATACAGTTCTTATATGTGGTTATGAATGAATCGGTATTACAATAAAAAAAATTGTGCAAAATAATAAGAAAAATATTTTTTGAAAGTTCTTATTAACTGACGTATACATAGTTTAAATTGATTCCGCTAGATGTCGTTACTAAGTTTTTAAAACGCGGTAACGAAATGTTTCCTGACATGTACTTAACTCCCGCCTTTGAGCCGCGATTCAACTTATAGTGCGTACGGTACCTATACGCTTAAATTGTTTCTATTTCGTAGCTTATTCGACTACCTGCTTTCGATTTCGGTTGTTTGTTATTTGCTTTGTGATTTGGTTAAGGTTGAATGGATTTATATTGGCTTTCATTTTCGGATTTGTGTATTTTCTTGGATCGGTTTTGTTGATTTGGTTGGTATTCCTTTATACATATTTAGACTCTGGCTTTGATTTTGGATTTTGTTTATTTAGAATCGTGAATTGGTTTTCGTTGTTTTAGGTTGTTTAACAATATTTCAAAGGAATATTAATAGTATAGATAGTGTATACGGTACCTATACACTTACTTCTTTTTTCGTTGGTTATATTTATATTGACTACTGATTTCGATTTCGGTTTTCTGCGATTTGTTTTGTGATTTGGTTTAAGTTGATTCGATTTTTTTTTGGTTATCGTTTTCGGATTCGTGTTGTGTCTTGAATTGGTTTTGTTGTTTTGATTTAAAAAAATATTTAAAAAGAATATTTATTCCTTTTAGATATTTTGGATTTGCTTTTAAAAAAATATTTAAAAGGAAATTTAATTCCTTTTAGGTATTTTAACGTTTTTTTTATAAATAGGTTTTTTGTTACTTCATAATGCCTCGCAAACGTAAGTCCAGCCTTTCAAGAGTATCTTCTCAAAGACAAGCGAAAAGATTAGCTCGATCGCTAGAATCTTTAGAAGATGCTGAACTGAGAAGGCAAGAACAAGCAGAGCGTCAGGCTGCTTTTAGAGCATCTGAGAAACCTTCTCAACGTCAGCAAAGGCGTTTTGAACAGACAGAGCGTCAGGCTGCTTTAAGAGCTTCCGAAACACCTTCTCAAAGTCAGGAAAGGCGTCTTGAACAGGCAGAGCGTCAAGCTACTTTAAGAGCTACTGAAACACCTGCTCAAAGTCAGCGAAGGCGTCTTGAACAGGCAGAGCGTCAAGCTACTTTAAGAGCTACTGAAACACCTTGATCAAAGTCAGCAAAGGCGTCTTGAACAGGCAGAGCGTCAATCTACTTTAAGAGCTACTGAAACACCTGCTCAAAGTCAGCAAAGGCTATTCGAACAAGCGGAACGTCAGGCCGCCTTAAGAGCCGCGGAAACACCTGATGAAACTCAACACAGACTCATTGAGCAAGCTGAACGTCAATCTACTATAAGGGCATCTGAAACACCAGAACAGACACAGGCGCGAAGAGATGCAAATGCACAGCTCCAAGCTGAACGTCGACAAAATTTTCAAAGAAACAATTGGTCGGTTTTTAATGACGCAGCATTCATTTATGATCCATTGATTGATTATGAAAAACGCAGGTTAGTTGTTATGGGACTGATGGAAAAGGCGTGTCGATTTTGCTTTAAAATGGAAAGATGAGTCCGCAGGCATGTGCTGTTCCAATGGCAAAGTGTCTCTTCCGTTACTTGGAGAACCAGAAGAACCTTTGAAAACTCTCTTTTTATATGATGCTAATGAGTCACGGCGCTTTTTAAACAGGATCCGGAAATATAACTCATGCTTTCAAATGAAGTCCTTCGGAGTTGACCGGGAAATAATAATGCCGGGATTTTCGCCTACATTTACGGTGCAAGGGCAAATTTATCATAGAATAGGTTCACTTTTTCCAGCTGAAAACGAACAGCATAAATTTTTACAAGTATATTTTATGGGTGACGAAGAAATTGAGGTAGACCGTCGCTGCCAATTTATCCAGGGAGTTGAGAGAGACACAGTGTTCAAAATTCAAAGATTCTTGCATGAACGTAACATGTTAGTCAAAACATTTAAAACTGCTTTAGAAAACCTACCTGAAGAGGATTATAAAGTCGTCATTCACGCAGATCGGACCCCTCGAGGAGAGCATGAAAGGCGCTACAATGCACCTTTGATAAACGAAATAGCAGCCGTAATTAGTGGTGATCAATTTTCTTCACGAGACATTGTCTTGCGAGCACGTGATGATACGTTGCAACGGGTAGCCGATACACACAAGTTTTATGACGCTCTGCAATTCCCATTGATTTATTGCAAAGGACAAGAGGGTTATCATTTTCAAATTCCACTCATTAACCCGGTCACAAAGGAGCCTACTCCGAACAAAAAAGTATCATGTATGGATTTTTATGCGTATCATATGATG